GACAGAGGCCTAGTCAGGATGATGGATGGATACATCAGTGGCAGACAGGCTTAAGAGCCTTTGCTTCATAGAACAGCATCCACTTTCCAAACTAATACTGTAACCTGATTCTGAATGTAGGACACTGGCAGGCCCAGGGCAGCTTGTCCTAAGCTAAGAATGACAAGTGCACCTTTTGGCAGAGCACAGAACAGATGTGCTTCATTGTTGTTTGTTGTTTTCAGCTCTGCTTTTTTCTTACACCCCCCGCCCCCACACACACACACCCCATACACTCACAGGCTTATATGGTGAGGCTGTTTTTGTTCTGAGTGTAAAATAAGTAATTCAGAGCAGTAAACAAATTGAGAAATTTCTTCGAGCCTGTCAGTTCCTGAGGCTTATCCATGTTGTTCTTCTTGTTTAAACGCTCCTCTTGTTTTCTGCAAGCTCCGCTGACTCTCAGTATTATTGCGGACTACTTTTCAAAAATGCCATCTGTATTTTTTCATCATTTTACTTCCTGGTATTATCAAAAAACAGCCATACTCTACTCTTAATTTTTTCCATCCACACCTGCAAGATACATGCTGTTGATTTGATACGATTGCAGCTTCATTTTTAATTTTATGACTGTCTTTCTTTGGTTTTTTTTTTATTCTTTTTTCTGGCACAACAGGGCCTCCATAGTTTTGTGATCCTGTCAGGTAATTTGTCTTGGATAAATTAGGTCATCAAACACTAAGGATGTTGGGTTTATGAGATTGGCATTGACAATATATTTCTGTAGTGATTAACAACTCTAACCTCCAAGTTGGAGTCGTGGACCGCTCTCCTCTTTGCTAATTTTCTCTGGGGAGAGAGGCGGCTGTTGGCTAATTAAAAAGCAATCTGTGCTCCCAAAATATTTCCTCGTCTATAGTCATCCAGGAGGGAGATGCAATTTGGAGGGATGAACGCTTACCTATTTTAAAGGAGAATGAAAATGTAATTCATACTCATTTCAATTCATGCAGAAAAGGAATAGCTTGTGTCAAATTCAGCCATCACTGTGGACAAAAAGCCATTGTTACCTGCTTTAACATTATAGCCACCAACTCACACTGGCAGAGCAAATCATCATTGAACAGAGGGACTGGCAACATCAGACACAGTTTCATATTTTTCTATCTGAAAGAGTCGTGCAGAGGTGCCCTGTCAAAAAGGCAGACATGCACAGTAGTGATGGAGAATGATTGTGTTTGCCAGGTATGCTCTATTAATATAGCTGTGCAGCCTTTGTTTGGACGATGAATGAGATGACGTGTGGCCGTAATGGCTCCTTAACAATGGCCAAGAGGTAGACGGGAGAGAGAAGAGAGGAAAGTCATCAATTGCAAGGGTGTAATAGAGGCAGAGATTGGTAGATTCCTGAGGTCCACTAGAGGTCAGTTGTAGTCTGGATGGAGTCACAATGCCTGAAGAGATGGATGTTGCTCCAAAGAACAACTCATACACGTCTGAAGTTCATTGGGGCAGAAGGATTGTCAGAAGTGAGGTGCAAGTGTGTGCACTACATCAGTGAAAGTAGACATTTTGGCTAACCTTGGTGGAAAGTCTGAGTTTATTGAAATCTGCAGCTGCAAAAGAAAATTATCGTTTTCAAAACGGTCAATCTTAGAAGCTGCATATACACAATTTTAAAAGATTGTCTTCAAGTTGTATGGTTGCTTTCTAAATCCTAAGCTGTTCCATTGATGCAGCTTGGGAAGTATTTTAAATTAACTTGCAGAGACATAAAAACATGTAGAGAGCAGGCAAGCTGTTGCAACATTTCCCAAAAAGTTTTTTGACTTTCTCAAGTTGTTTTCTAGAAGCAGCGATCGGTAGGATTGTAAAATACCCATAGGATTCAGAGTGCAAATTAATAATTTCATGGTATTCTAATTCGTCACAAAAGCTCTCACAATATTTGAACCTGCTTACTGATTGTCTTTTGGGCTGGATTTTCCAACACAGTACTGTATGACTACCGACCCACAAATGACAGATGTTAGGAGTGTCCTTGAATGCACCAACAAGGAGATTTGTCTAAATAGCCCCTGCTTGTAACTTCATTACCAAGGTGATAATGCGATTTCAGGACATTTGTAGACTTTGATAGATTACTCACCATCATCTCCAGGATGTTAAGAAAGATAACATTGTATTCTATTTTCAGGAAAAAAAAATAAATATTTTTTTTTAATGTTGCTTCCTCTTGTATTTCTGCACTTTTCAGCAGACATTTACTGATCCTGATATCTTATACCTTAATGATCCCTTCAGAGAAACTTAATGGATACTTGGATGGGGGAACTCCCTTTAGGGCTGAGAGTTTCCTGAAGACCGGGATCCTGTGTGTTGGTCTGCAGGAGGGTTGTTTCGGCACTGCCTTTTCTCATGATGAAAGATTGCTTGTCAAAGAGGAAAATTAAATTTCTGTACATATTTGGTACAATTTTTTACTGAAGTTTGCTCGATGTGGAAGCTAAGACAGGATCTGGTGCTGGATCTCGGTGCTACATGCACTGTTTTTCAGATGTCATTCCCTGAAAATCACCTACTTGACAGGATGAGGGAGCAGAAAAGCCCCTTGTGTTTCCTCCATCCTCTTGAGGCATCATTTAGGTGATGACAGGAGCTTGGTAAATGCTCAGGACAGCTCCTCTCATCCTCTCCGCCCCCTCTTAGCCTCATCAGTGCTTGTGTAGTGCAGTGGAGGGGGTGTGTCTCTAGGTCTGGGCAGGGAGGCCTACAGGGAGAGGCTGATATAGACATCTCAATCTGTCTGCGTTGCTTATTCATCTCCCCCTGCCAGGGAGAAACTCAGCGGGCCGCCACCCTCTGACTCTGGGAGGAGGCAGCACCAGCTTGTCATTACCAATCAGCCAGTGAAGCTGTCACCTACCCAGATAATTTGGACTCAGGCAATATTGGATCTTTGTAAAAGTAAGTTTGTCCTTGAACTTAACCTTTGTTTGGACTCATATGGATTCCTTGAATTGTTCCTGCTGCATATCAGGGTAGTTTCAACTTGGTGCATAATGTTGATACTGACTAACTCAATTGTATGCAGATACAAAGACATCATACAATTTCTTGTAAAGGTTAGCTGAAGCCATATGAGCCCTGACACAAACTGCTGAAGTGATACTTTTACAAAGGAGACTCTCTTAGTGGAATGGATTTCCCTCACCCCGTGAGGACGGTCACTGCCTTTGCAAGACAAGCCTATTTTCTGCTGCAAGGACATGCTGGCCTCAATTCTGAACTAACAAGCATGTAAACTACACTCTCCTCAGGCTGAGACTGTATAGGGAAATTATTTGTGTGGCTGGATATGGGAGCTGGAGAAGAGTGTGTCAAAGATCAGAGCGTCTCTCCTCTCGTCTGAGCTTAACTCCCTGACTAGCTGCATGAATATGCATATTCAGCCTGTCAGATAATATTAGCCTTACATCACATAGCTTTTTTTCATCAAGCTAATCAGGGCTGATACTCATTTGTTTTCTCTATTTTTTGTATCATGACCAAAATTGAGGCCAGAGAATATAATTGTGCTGGAAATCAAGAAGCAACTGAAGCATTTGAAGATGATTCATAACATTCAGCCTCACAGGATTTTGTTGTGTTTGGGCCAAAAAATATTTACTTTGGAAATTGAAAAAGTTAAGTGGGCTTTTTTCATATTCTGGTAGCCTGGATGTAAACCGCTCTGTGTTCAAAACAAACTGTCATTTATTTAGATTGAGGGCACAGTTCACATGGCTGCAGAGATTCAAATTTGAAAAGCGTTATGCCCGGGGTCGCTCTTGTATAAATCTGAAATAAATTGCATTATGGCCTTCTGGTCATGTGCAATAACAACACTGCATTGCAGAGTGATAAGCCTTTCTTGTTCCTCTTTATTAATTTATTTTCCTGCCTCTTGACTTTCAGGGTATGAAATCGCTGTCAGATAAAATGACTGAAGCAAGGAGCTGCTATGCCATTAAAGAAATAATCATCAGACACCCTTGATGAGTCAGTCTAAAGGCAAGGATAAAGACACACACTGTCTGGCTAGAAACCCAATGACATTTCAATTTGAGCTTGTCAGAGCACTCTGCCTTCAGTCCCCTACATGTCCTACTTTTCTGCCATTTAAAACCTTTTAATGCGTAAAAATATGTCGTTAAAATATAATATCCAGACAGTTGGATTCCTGTGAAGCTCTGATCCCTCTCAGGCATGAGGACAACCATCGCTGCTTTCATTAGAGAGAGGAGTTTGAGGATACCCCGAGTTACACGCCTGCATCGCTCCATGCAGAAGACCACTCCCTCTCTCTGTGTAATTTATGAGAAGTGCACTGCTCTGAAGACCAGTCTTTTAATGCAGTTGGAACATGATCTCCTAGACAGGCTGTATAGATCTGAGAAAAAACACATAGCAATCAATGGCTTCCCTGAAAAGATACCAAAGGGTATAACACACACCTACTTGTTTAAATGTACCAGAGAAAGACTGAGTTTCTTCACAGGGCTCTTTGTAGTTCCCTGTTTGTAGTAACGTTCATACACACACAGGTCGTTTTTTTCCCCACTATAGGCTATAAGCTTTACTCCCAATTGAGACAAACTGTCGTATGACACAGTAAGCAAGGCCAGGTGCTTCTCAGCCTGTCACTGGCTTTTAAAAAATATACCCCCCTGCATGACTTGAACATTTTATGACTCTATTATTGGGTGTTTGCTAGTTTCCTGAACAAGTTGCCCCTCTGGACAACAGCAGCCATCCATTTAGAAACAATGCTCTGCCTCCCTCCTCTTCATTTTCCTCGCAAAAGCGCCTGCATCCATTTGCTGGGTGCTGCTTGTCTGCCGTATTCAGCTCGATTCATTTTCTGTGGGGGGAAATTGGTGCACTGATTGGCCTCTTTACTCATGGATTAGCCATTAAAAAGCTGTTAGGGACTCTCTCACTATCTGCTCAATGCAATCATCGCACCAGAGATAAGGTCATTATTACAGCGTCTGCAGAGAGGTTAACATCCCCCTTGATCTCTGCTCGCTCGCTGTAGATTGGTGCATGCACGTGAATGAGGTAATGGACAAATTATTGCTCCCTTTGAGATATAATTGCTGTTGAGTCTGTATCATCCCATTGGAAAAAGCCATTAAGAGCTTTTGAAAGTTTGTGTACATTACTTTGTTTCTCATACTCTGTTGTTTACATTACAGCCAGCGCAGCGGTTTTCAGTCAATTTCTTCATCTTATTAATTCTAAGTGAGGCCATAGTTCAGGGATACATTTCATGGAATACAGCTACAGTGTTGACTGCCTTTACTTTAACACATCTCAAGCTATTGTGTAGTAAATGCATTGCAACTCTGGTTGATAATTAACAGTGTAGGAGGAGGTGAGATACAAGAAGTAGATCCAGGAGGAAGAAGAAAGACTCCACTATTAGGCCACGTCACGGTCGCTTCTATCCAAACTTTCCGACAGGAGGTCAGGACACCCGCAGCTTCATTTATTCTCTTGACCCGATTCTGTTACAACCTAAGACAAATTATACTTTAACTGCTTTTTCTGGCTTGTCTTCTCCCTAATGGTAAACGCACCATGTCCTGACTTAGTGATCCAAAAGTCAGAGATATTACACACCACCTACTTTATTCGAGGCATTCAGGTAACAGTTATAAAAGGAACTGCCACAGCAAAGCAGAGTGCTTTGGTGCAGAGACAAGCTCAGCCTAGTGGGTAAGGTATTTCAGTGAACAGCACTGGACTCTGGTTCTCCTTATCAGACAAATACATATACATGGCCCCCAAGCTCCTTGGGACACAGCAATCAAGTGTTAAAGCCAATTCATTTTCTGATCTTACATCTGTAACCTCCTAAATGTCCTCACACGCTCATGGGATGTTCGTTTAAAGGCATTTGTATGACATTGAAATTGCTGTGTGGACATTTGTCAGCATTTACTTGATTAGTGCAACTGTTTTGTTTGGTTACAGCTCGAATCTGTCACAGAACACAGCTTGGTTGTATTTCACAGTGTGAGTCTGCATGAAGGAAGTGTGTCCTAATAACTAAAAAAAAGGTGTTTATATGTGTTTTTTTTTTAGGTGGGCCCTCAAGATGGATGTCATCTCACTGTGACTGCTGCTGCAAGAGCCACAAAAGCGAGCGAGAGGGAGAGAGCGGCACCTCCTTCAACGAGCTCTCCACTTCTTGTTCTGAGACCCAGTCGGAGGCCAGCTCCCCTCAAGGAACCGTGATCTGCGGCCCCGTTAGTCGGCAGTCCCACATCCAGACGCTGGACCGTCCCATGCCGAAAGGACCAGGTCACATGATGCATCATGCAGAGATGCGCCGCAAGACAGATGTTCTCCGGGTGAGAACCTTTGGAGTCAGGGAACGAGAGGCCGCAAAGAGGAAAGCAAACAAGGAGAAGATGACTCCAGAGCAGGAGCTGGAGAAATGCATCCAGGATTTCCGGCGCATTAGGATTCCCGATCGCTTTCCAGAGAGGAAGTACATGTGGCAATCAGAGCTCCTGAGAAAGTACCGTCTCTAAAAAATGAGAGTGATAGAAGAGGAGAGATTGAGGTATCATGTCAACAACTGTATTAAGTGAAAGGACTACACCCTCTAAGACACACACTGTATTAAACAAATGGCCACTTTCCCGCCAGCATGAGTAGCTGAGCACACAAGGTACAAGGCAGTGTGAGTCCTTGATTTGTAAAGTCTGCACAGTGTTGTGTGTAATATGCACATGTGTAAATCAGGTTACTCCTGTTGGGGCTTACATCACCTAAACGTGTTCTCCCTTCAGAGAGCCGGGTGCAAGTCACATAAAGGCTACTATGTCACTAGTTGAAGCAACAAAGCAACCTCAGGGGCAACATGTCGATTCATCAACCTATCACTTACTGTTTGTGCTATTTCCCACAATTACTGTTTTTTAAACATGGATGTACCCAGAAGGTGCTTTGAGTTAGCGATTGAATATCACTTTACTCCACTAAATAACACATAAACTTATAGTAGGCTTTGGTAAAGGCACTGCATGTCATTTCACCCCTAGCATAAATATGCAATATCAAACAAACTTTGATTCACTATTTTGTGTGATGGGTAAAAGTGATGTGTTATGACTGACCGTTAATTAAATGAGGAAAGCACTGCCTAGGTCTGTTTGCAATTGTAAAAATATTGTCAATATATGTTGGATAGATGATATTGTGTAGGTAGAGTATATAATGTCAATGGATATTTGATGAATCCTTGATTGTAAGTGTGCAAAAAAATGCTAATAAATGGATTAGAATTGTACTTATTTTAGTGGATGTTCTTATGACCATTGAGATTTACTTCAAGAATTCTCTTTCAATCTATTTTTTAAAATGACTTTACATAAAAGCCACCACTTGAAAAATGACTGCCTAAGCATAGCAGCCATAAACAGAGAGGCCTGTGAAGCTCTATATTTCTCCACACATTGAAGAGATTTTGCACAGAGCTATTAAAAGAGCTAGTTTGGAGGGTGGTGTTTTTTTGTCTTTGGTTCAACATTTCCAAAGCCAAAAAAACAGAGGATCAAAAGAGGTTTATATTAGATTAAACACTCTGTTTATCTCCATAAACATAGACTATGGATTTTAGCATTTCTTGATTCCAACATTTAAACAATTTTAACTGGGTTACATGTTAAATTAAAGAAGGTGTCAGCTGGAGACCATAAAAAGTCAGCCAGAGACAACAAATCAAAGAAAACTTTGGCTTCATTTGCTAGCTAGCTGGAGCGAATGAAATCATCTGGCATCAGTTGCACATTAAAATCAATGGTCTGGAGTAAAATGACTACACGCATCTACAGCGAAACAATGTGGGCAGGTAGTACGAGATGCCCAAAGTTTTCATTTGAAATGCTTTTCTAAATGGTTAAAATACTTAAAGTTGTTAAAGATGAAGAACAGGTGCAAAAAAAATACAGTTTCTAAAGGCATAATGCAACATACTGCTTCAGTTCAGGGTTTCTTTACTGCATGGTGCTCTGTTAGACACGACACAGCTTATCTGGGACACTTGACCAAACTACAAAGCCTTCATTAATCTTATAAGTAACAGCCATGCTTTTTCGCCTACAGTAGATACTTGTTGTTAAGAAGGCCTAGCTAGCTAAATGGCACTTTCCAGCTATCAAAACAACTGGCTTTAGCATGTGTCCGTGCGCTGTAAGTAACAGACGTTGAAAGATTTGTTGATACTAATTCAACAGCCACCCACTAACCAACTAACCCCTCACAAACCTGGTGTTATTTAAATAGTGTGACAGATATTCTCTTTGTGGGACTTTTAACTGTGCCTCATCCTCTTGAGAGGATCTCCAGGAAACATATAGAGAACCATAGCTGTGCATAGCGAGCACCATTAACATAGGGAGCACTATTTTTAGCAAACAGATTTCTGCTGTGTCGCCACATTGCATCCGTAAGGAGCAACGCTTGGGGACCTTATCGCTGCGACCCAAAAAGCATCCCGAGTGATGATAGATGAAGAACATGCTTCCCCCTTTGGGACAGTCAGTGTCCTACAACAGGAGTTCAGAGGAAAAGCTTTGCGATATATCCATCTCCATATGCTGAAATGGTATGAAAAGAACCAGATATTAATGTGCTGCAGCAAATATAACCATTTAGTCCTTCCTTTGTCAAAAATAAAATAAAATAAAAACTTTAATCATGTGTGAAAGACATCAGCCTTTCACCATATGTTAGATAAAGAAATTGCTTAATAATCAAGCCTTTTTAGAGTCTTTATTAACTTCTACTTAGCTGCGAAGAGATATGGTTCAGTATGTGAATGGATTTCGGGAAGCTCATAAAAAAGGTCATTCGATTCTTAATACCCCAACAGAGAATAAAATAGCAAAAACCTGGAAGGGGATTGTAACATAATGAATTTGTCAGGGATATAGTGACCAGTCTTCCTCTCCTCAGCTCAGCTTCAGGACCCATATCTCTTCCTCTCAGCCTCATTTCAATAGGAACACAGCATGAAATCTCTCAGCTTGAAATCCAATGCCCCTTTCCCCATCTGTGAAAACCAGATCCGGTTTGGATTGCAATCTCCTTGCACACAATCTGAATCGCTAATAGCCCAATGAAAAATCAATGAATCTGTTTTTGCATATCAAATGTACACACTGTCACAGGCATGCATGGCCTGGCCTGGCCCAGGTGACCTTGATGGCCTATCCCACTGAACCACCTGAGCTGCTTCCTTTACGGATCAATATCCTCAGATCCTGGCCTTGGCCTTACAGTCTTTACACATGATCGATAACCAACACCCTCCTCTAGGATGAAAAGTAAAATTAAACCTTCAATCAAAAAGCAAACAAACACTGCCACCGCTAACCACCCTCAATTATCCTGCAGGGTTGCCTGCAGGCCTTGCATTTCCCACAACAGCTTTCTTTAGCACAAGACAGTTCTGATGGTGTAATTACAGCGCCTGTATCACATAGAAAATAATTGCTAAGCCTGGATACAAGAATGGGAGAACAACCCTGTTTACCAGTTATTAAAGGACCAGAAATGATTTGCATTCACATATAAAATAATGGAGGCATGAATTAAACCAAGCAAACAGGATTTCATGTTTTCATACAATGAATATAAGGAACAGACTATTTTGTTGGAGTTGAAGACACTTTAATTCACTTACCCTAACATTATAAATCTGAGGTGGTAACTGGTCTTGATGCAATGCACAGCCGGCTCAGGATCATTTCTGCTAAGGTTCACACCTGAAATAGAAACATTAACTATCTCATTTAAATCCTTCCTCTGGAAAAATACCCAAACCCTTAATGGGAGACAAGTTGTTGCCTGCAGCTTGTCTCCTTAAATATCCAGCACCAGCATGTTTTTCTGTTCACTCATCTAATTTTAGATGACTGACATCACAAAGTTTTTTAAACGCTGGGGAAGTGAATGGAAATGTGGCTGACTAACTGTGAGGCTGTCTGCTGATATTTGCATATTTGTTCCTCATGATGGCAAAAAAAGGGTATTCCCAGGGCTTGGCTATAGTAGGCAGATAATGATCATAAGTAAAGGCTTTTGGCTCACTAAACATTTGTAACGGTTAAAATTGGATTGCCCAAAAGAAACTTTTATGAATAATTTTTAAGAAATAGAAGTAAAAGTTTTGTTTTAACATCACTCCTCTAGGGAACATATTCCCATTAGTATCTCTTATTTTATTTATTTATAATATATTTCATAGATTTCTATGGCAGAGTTGATGTCTCTCTTTGAAGCTACATTGTGCTCTGATCTGCAGTTATATTAAACCTACAAACTGTGTGCTCTTTCATGAGAAGCCTGCAGGGACCTATCCAGAGAAACAGGAGCCAATTTGCAGCTTTGGAGCACATTCGGGGTCTCTTTATGGCCTGATTCTGCCAACACCAACATGTAGAGATACCCTCTGAACATAGTACAAATTAATCCAGGGGAGGAAGTGACAAAATCAAAGAGATTTTCTTCGGAAAGTAGATATATATATTCTGCACAATGGAACTTCCCAGCTAGAACTCACATAGATATAGTCTTTGATGCCCCCCTTCCCCCCAAGCCCCTGTTTCTGTCTGCTTTAATCTGATCCCAACTTGACCTTTTTCTGTCCATTCTATAAAAAATGTTTGAGGTGTGCAAACTAACTGTGAGGCTAACAAGTGCTCCAAAATCTTTTAATTTACCTCTGGTGTTATGACGACATGCCTGAGTTTGAATTTTATTTGTCCATGCTCTGCATTATATTAGGATTTCTGCTGACAGCCAATAAAAATGAAGTAAACATTTTTGTTATAAAAGCACTTAAATAGTATGTTATAAAATGCAACAAAAATATCTCTTCCCAAAAACATTGTCCAAGTTACCCCAGAAAGTCAACAGATGATAGAGGGAACGTGTGGTTTATATTAACCTATAGACATCTGTATCATTGATCATCAGGGATTTCATTCAACAATAATTCATAAGGGTTAACAGAGAAGTCTTACCATTCGATAACCAGACTAAGAAATATCCAAAGGTAAAATTACAGCAAGGTCCAGCAGGTGAAAACACAGGGAGCCACGAGAACGACAAGAAGCAGGGTTGAAGAAAGTTTGCTGCGCTAAAGGGAAAAAACACAGAGACTATACACTGGGGCTAATCAGACACAAAGACTAATCAGACAAAGGGGAAAGGGAATGATTACTGACAAATGAAATACATTTAATACAAAACTAATCAAGAACAGTACTCAATGGTGAATGAGTTTCTTACCTGAAGAAGAGTCCCCCAACAAAAAAAGGTGGACCATAAGATCAGTGGAGTATTATTGAGTTACAATTCTGTGAGTAACACATACAAAACTCCATATCCATTATTTGATAAGAGATCACATTTGAAGTTGTGAGAAAGCACGTTTATATTTTGTGAGTTTTTGTGAAGTAACCGTTTTGGTGAAGCTTTATAATTATTATTTTAATTTAACCTTTATTTAACCAGGAAAAGTGAGTTGAGATTGAAAAAAGAGACAGAGAGCAGCACAGTTAACACACTTTCCAACAAACTATGAGTAGACGAACAATGTAAAATAAGATACATGACTCTAATAAATTAAAAATACAGGACATAACAAGTCCAACTAAGTATTTGTCAATTCACTCACAATTCTAAATAGCTTATATCAGGCAAAACCTCTACAGCCAGATGTGCTCGCCCCCAAGTCAATACATTAACTTACTTAACATCATCCAATGAGACCAGTTTGTTAAGTTCAGGGCTTCTTGTTATTTGTTCCAACTAAAGGGGGCCGTAACCTAGTCAGCTCAGTTCTGACCATTGAAGCAGACAGTAAGAAAATATCCTGTGGCTGAAGACTGACTGAACAGTGATGAGTGAAGGTTTTAAAATCTGTTATGAACTTCAAAGCTCCATGATACACAATGACATGTATGCTTTGGGCAATGACATGTATGCTTTTTGCTTTAAGCATACAATAACATGTATGCTTTGATAAGTTGGATTTACTGGTCTTGGTTATGAGTTACTTTTTTGATCATGAATCAGATCAGCACCAGAAAATTAAGATGTCTCTTGTCAAATAAAGCCCATGGTAGTCAGAAGGCCTTTTTAATCACTCATGTGCATACAATGAAATGCACAAACGCCCGATGATGCAGTCTCTCACACATACACACACTGTAATGACAGGTGTCAGTCAATAGTGCTGATTCAGCAGGCATCGAGTCCAAGCTAATTCTACTTTCTCTC